TTAACCGTGTCGTCATTCATCACCAATGAAAAACAATGAGACATTTTCCATACTCACAATTCACAGCGAATGAACAAATGAAAAAATGGCATTGTTTCTCTTTGTTTCTTGAGGGTGTGGGTGTGGGTGTGGGTGTAGGGTGTGGCTGTGGCTGTGGGACGTGGGTGTCGGCTGTGGGTGTGGGTTTGTGGGTATCGGTGGGTGTGAGGAGGGAGAAGATCCACACCCACTGAACCCACACCCATACCCACACCCATATCCTCCACACTCAACATTCCACACCCACATCCACGCCCCACACACCCACACCAAACACTCGAGTTTCTAGTGTCGAAACGACCGGATCCACGATATTTGACATTACCCGATAACGAAAAACAGCCCATAAAGTATGCATTACAACATCATAACCTAATCCGTATGAATATTCTTTTCTCTTCCATAGAATATCAATCGAAAAAAACCCTCTCTATGAATTGATCAAACAACTGCTACCACAAACAGGACATAAGTAACTACTTTCCTGCATAACTTTACTTTCTTATATTGAATAGACCGACATTAATGCATACTACACTGACTTGATAAATAAACTGCTAAATTCACTCATAATTTTCATATACAATAAAAACTAAAGCACAAACCCACTATCCCAACAAAACAACTATCATAAAAATACCCATAAAAACCGCAGAATAAACTGCTCAATCATAAGAAAGCAAGACACATTTTCTACCTACTGTACACTCCCCCATCACAAAACGAACAACATTCTTGAAATCATGCAACTATCATCATCAAAAAATAACACTATCCAATTCCATCCACCGCAAACCCATACAAACGAGAGAACCCAACCTCCAAAACAATTTCTAAAATTCCCAAAATAAAAAGATGCACAATATCTGCCAGAGGCATAGGAAATATAAATTCGGGCGGAATCCCTTTAGAAACACTAGATACGAACAATTCCGTTATCGTGGTAACTACTACACACCAACTTTCCTGTAGGTGTATCTACTCTTTCAACAGGGTAGATCTATTCAGGTATCATGTTTTTGATTCAGTTTTGGATCACTCTTAACTGATACTGAGGCCACTTGATAAGATTGGGTCAGTAACATCGAAATATCCTAGGCTATCGTGGTAACTACTACACAACCACTTTTATTGTGAGCGTATCTACTTAGGTTTCGGCTTTTCAAGTAGATATTTTCAAGTACTATGTTAGGATTCAATGAAATCTTGGATCCATAAGAACTAGTACTGAGGCCACTTGATAAGATTGAGTTCAGTAACATCGAAATATCCTAGGTTATCGTGGTAACTCTAGACACACCCACACCCTGAAAATATACGGCTACGCCATTATATTCCCGAACTGCAAAGTTAATTGAACGTTTTGTTTGCTTTTTTTCTTCAATAGACAACAAATCTACTTATCTGGCCCGTTAGTGCTATAGTAGACGCCATAAGACACAAAAAGGCGCAAACATAATAATGTCTAAAAAGGTAGTTCTCATAAACGAAATTATTATAATTTTACTTTTTTGACAGCCCATCTTTTTAAAAAAGTTTGAGACTATCATTTTTCCAATCCGAAATGTGCCGAAAACAAGAAGTCTTCCAAATGTTCTGTAGTTTGCTCAATATGGTGAGAAGTAGTACTGCCATATATATTTTTTATTTTGATTATAGAAAAGACTATTGACAGAGGTCATCAGGAATTTCGTATTATCATTTTTGCAGAACTTTTCACGGGGTATCTTTAAAAAAATTATCAAGGTTCTATGATGTCTCTATGCTGAGATATATGCAAAATAAAAATGTATTACAAACATTTTGAAAAAACCGATAGTTGTAAGGTTGAACGCGATGCAAAAAGAGCAGCACATGTTGAGGGTGAGGATTATGTGACACACGAAGTGTAAGCATCGGACATCCAACACAGAGAGACTTTCAGTGTTCGAAAAGCATAAGTGAAGATCTATGAAACAGGTATATAACCTGACCGATGTTGACCTGTACACAGGCGAAAAATAGATAAACATGAAATATTTCTAAAGGAATCAGTTCATTTATTTGTTAATTTTGTTTTGCGATACGTTTTTCGAGAAAAAAAGAACAAAAAACTATCTATGTCCGTTAATTGTGAGACGACAATTCGATTGAAAATTTTTGCACTCGATGACGCCAAAAATCGGCGACATAGAGATTGCCGTGTCGATCGAATGATAAACCTTTGAGATAATCAAGCTCGTTCCCTTGATCGCCTCTGTTGTTTCCATCAACGACAATACTTCCGCTTGTGGCTCCTTGCGGCCAACGCATTATTCGATGATTCTTCGAGTCAGCCACATAGACAGTGTTCAATCGATCGACGAATAGTCCATTTGGATAATGCAATTGTGTTAGAGCATCCCCTTTACCGTTACCACCAGCCACAATAATGCCTTCTTTCGCACCTTTCATCCATTTCATTACACGATGATTGTTCCAGTCCGATACGTACACTGAATGATCTTGATCGACGACGATGGAAAAAGGATAATCGAGCTGATCACGACGATTACCTTCTCCATTACCACCTGCCACCACTGTTCCATTCTTTTCACCCATTCGCCATCGCCTAACTTCATGCTTTTCTGTATCAGAGACGTATAAAGATCCTTCGTCATCCATTGCCAAATCCTCACATTTCACATTCAAGATAATCGTTTCGCCGCTTCTTCCATCATGACGAGGCCATCGTACTACTCGTCGGTTCAAAAAGTCGCATATGATAAGACTATCTGTTTGTTTGTCAAGAATCACATCTGTTGGGTAATTTAACTGATTAGACTTGTTTCCAATTCCATTTCCACCGGCAACCACTTGCCCACTTGTCGCATCACGCTTCCATTTCATGATACGTTGATTTCCATGGTCAGCGATGTAAAGAGTTTGATCATCATCGATATAGAAACCGACTACTCGCTCTAATTGATTAAGGTTACTGCCTTGTCCATTTCCTCCGGCCACAGTAATACCGTGCTGAGTCCATTTAGCATCGAGAGGAATCTGTAGAAACGCTGCAATAAAAGAGAAACAAAATGCTGAAGTTATGAATGAAAAGATTTGATATTGAATGATTCTAAATTACGCTAATCAACATGACTTGAGGATGAGAAAAAGTACAGAACTTGTTTTTGTCCATAGAAAGTCATTTCTAATCGGTTGATATATTTTTTGAAAATGCAACCGAAGCGATGATCTTTTCCACGGCGATACTATCGAATCGGAAGGGTTCAGAGAAAATGTCTGTGACAACATGTGCAGGATGATCCAAAAGTCAGTTAACTGAAGAAAAAATTGATTATGTTCATTGCAATTCAATCAAATCGGCGGATTTTTTTGGTTAGTGATACAAGTTTATTCAAAGGCTTTTTCATAT